TTGTTAACTTAGAATAAAACGTTGAACAATGCTGAAAACATGCTGAGCGAAATAAATCAGTCACAGAAGGACCAGGATTTCACTCACAGAAAATGGGCAACCATACAGAAACCAAAGCTTGTCAGTGGTTACCAGGGGTGGGTGGGAGGAGGAAGGGGACAGTTACTGTTTAGGGGACACCAAGTTTTGGTTAATGGTGGGGAAATAAGTCAGAAAAGGACAGTGACAATGAGTGTACAACGTGAATAATAATCAATGTCACTGAGTTGTACATGTAAAAACTTGAATCACCAAATGTTCTGTTATGCATATCCTCATTATCCTCATTACTGTCATTAATTGTCATCGAGTCAGCTCTGACTCATGGTAATGCTATGTGAGCAGACTAGAACTGTGCTCCATAGGGTTTTCCAGGTTGTGACCTTACAGAAGCAGATTGCTACACCTTTCTTCCAAGGTGCCTCTGGCTGGGTGGACTCAAACCACCAACCTTTTGGCTAGGAGTCAAGGGCTTAATCATTTGCACCGTCTAGGGACTCCCTGTATATTCTTATCACAATAAGAATAAAGGCATACCAAATGATCAACAATTACTTTAACACAAAAAATGAGAGTGTAAGGAGGCAGGGAAGCTAGATTAATTGAAACAGAACTACCAGAATGGAAACACTGAGACTATTCACACACTGTGAAGAATGTAACCAATGTCACAAAACAATTTGTGCAGAAACTGTCAATTATGAACCTAAATTGCTGTATAAACCTTCACCAAAAACACAATAAAATATGAAGAAAATAGAACACATATATACATAACTGAAAAAGAACAAACCCACTGCCATCAAGTCGATTCTGAGTCATAGCAACCCCCACTGGGTTTTTAAAGCTGTAAATCTTTAAGGAAGGTGTGTGTTTCATCTTCCTCCCATGGAGCAGCTGGTGGATTTGAACTGCTGACCTTTTGGTTAGTAGCCAAATGTCTTACCCACTACACCACCAGAACTCCTTAAAATATGCATATACATGTGCATATAAATTAAGGAGAAAAATAAATAAAAATAAGCCAATGCTAACGATGTGGAAATAAAAGACAGACCACTGATCTGGTGGACCTGGTGATGGCTGTATCCCTGGCCATCCCCACTGCCCAGCCCCAGCTGGCTGCCCCACAGCGCCCCCTGGAGTGGTCTACTTACAGGCCCGGGCAGGCAGAGCTCCAGCAGGCCATCCTGCACCACATAGATGCTGGCATCGGGCTGGCCTGGCCGGAAGACGTAGTCCCCCTGGCTGAGCCGCTGGAAGACCATGTGCCTACAGAGTTCCAGGAAGAGAGGCTTCTCAAAGTGGCCCAGCACCCTATGGGACAGGCAAGCAAGGGTGGCAGGTCAGATGGGCTGCAGCCCTGCAGCCCTGTGGCCCCCCGGCCTGGCCCCAACACTGACCGCACATTCTTGAGCATGTAGAGCACCTCGGAGGGCAGGTGGGAGTTGGCCAGGTCGCCCTCTGTCAGGTCAGCCTCCAGCACAGCGGGCGGGGGCTCCTTCCGCTGCAGCGTGGGCGCCTCTTTCTGGATGCGCAGGATCCTGGTAGCAGGAGAGGTGTGGGAGGGGGCAGGGAGGGGTCATAGAGAGCAGGGCTCAGCAAACAATGGCCTGCAGGCCACCTCCTTCTGTCCTGCCACCAATGTTTATAAAGGTTAATTAGCACACAGCCACACTCATTCATTTATGTCTCGTCTATGGTTACTTTCACACTAAGACAACAGATTCAAGTACTTGCAACAGAGCCTGTACGGCCCACAAAGCCTAAGACACTTACTATCTGGTCTTTTACAGAACAAGATTACCAACCCTCAACATAAAGCCCTGATCATAAATCCCTGAGATAGACCCTCGATGGAGGCAGATTCCTGACATAGCTTCTACCATAGGGACAGATGCCAGAAATAGCACTGCTGTTTGGGACCTCTGAGATAGGCCTTCTAGTAGTCATAGACTAGATCCTGACATAGCCTCTCTCCTGGAGGCAGCCTTACTTTTTAGCGATGTTGAGCATCTTAAGTTTCTTCTTCATGCGTGGCCGGGAAGTGGTGGAGACTGAGGTGTCCACCAAGGAGGAAGTGGATTGTGACACCTGAGAAGGTGAAGGGGGGTGACGGGGTGGGGATGGGTCAACTGTTAGTTCAGATTGTGAGGAACGGGGGTGTGTGTGTGGGGGAGCTAGATCCAGGAGTACCTAATCAAGTGGGAGAAAGGCCAGGGAAGTACTACGGAAGGGGCAGGGCCTCAGTGTGGTCAGTGCGACCCCAGGGGTCCTGAACTCACCTTCCGCATAATCTTCCGGCCATAGAAAAGCACTTTGTCCCTTTTCCGGAATCGATACCGGGGGCCATCGGGGGCCGGGGTTTCTGGGGATGCGCGGAGAGGTGGACTGTGAGCTCTGTGCAGAATCTACGCGGCCGGAGGTGGGAAGGCGGCGTGCAGAGCCCAGCAAATCCCATCTCTACTGCCTCAGAGACCACACCATTTCAGCTTCCCACCCCGCAGCCTCCCCAAGTGGCCTCCCAGATCCTCACTCGGCACTCGCAGCCTCCGCACCAGCAGAAGGATGACCACGGCCGTGACCAGCACCACGACTCCAGCACCGATCATCACGCCCAAGACCTGCGGGACGAATGGCACTGACTGCGTATCGCATGGCCGCCCCGCCGAGACCTCCCTAGGGCCCTGGGGGCCCTGGAGCCCGTTCCATTCTTCTACCTTCACCCCCGGGGAAGTCGCAGCCAGCTCGGGCCTCGGTGTCTCCATCTGCGGAATGGCCCGGCGCTGCTCCCTCCCCGGGGGCGCGACTTTCCCTGAGCCTCCGCAACTCGCGCAGCAAGCCGGGAAGAGTAGTTCCACGGGAACACAAATGCCACGTTCTCGCGAGACTGTACTATACGCGCTGAGCGTGCCGGGAATTGTAGTTCCCGCGGCATCACACATTCTGAACTCTCACCATTCCTGTTTGCAGCGGGGCCTCCATCAGCTGCCTCAAGCTTGTCGGCGGGAATGGCAGCCCGGAGTCCTGAGGAAAGTGGAAGCTAGAGAAGCCTGCGCAAGTCCGTCGCTCTGGACCCGCCCCGCCCCTGCCGGAAGCTCCGCCCCCTGAGTACCCTAGGCCCAGAGTTCTAGTTGCCCCGCAGGGATGGCTAGAGGGGCGGGACTGGGGGGGCCGGCCAAGCTCACAACCGGGTCGGGTAGAGGTGAGGAGGGTCGGGTAGAGGTGAGGAGGGTCGGTATGGCAGCTTGGCTCCTTCACCTATGCACCGTCCCTACCAGGCGCCGCTCCCGTTCCAACCCCGCCCGGAGGCCAAAGAGCGTATGGGCATCCCTGCCAGTTGTCCACGCACAGTGCCCCGCAGGGCGGTGCCCCCACGCGCTCCCTGCCGCTCCAGCCCTACGAGGTTGATCAGTGCCCACCAACCGGCCCCCCGGGGCCGTACCCCGTGAAGACCGGTCCCCACCCCAGGAAATGGGCCTACGCGCCATCTCCCCCCGCTGCCCAGCTCCCGACGCGAACCGGGGAGGGAGGGGGACACTGGAGCTGGGGCGCCGAGAGTGCTGCCGAGAGCTCTTACACAAGGGGTTCTGCGGAGGTACCAGGGTCTTGGAAAGTCCTGGAACGCTCTAGGTGGGTGGGCTTTTACTGGTTTATTCTGGAGATGGCGCAAAAGTTTAAGCGGTTCAGCGCTTGACTGGTAACTGAAAGCTTGGTGGTTCGAACCCACCCACTGGTTCAGCGGGAGTAAGACCTGGTAATCTACTTTCCTAAACACTTCGTTATGTGCCGTTGAGTCAGCCCCGACTCATAATCCTCCTTGGGTTTCCGAGGTAATCTCACTACCAGAAGTAGGATTGCCCAACCTTCCTTCTGAGGAGTGGCTGGTGGGTTTGAACCGCCAGCCCTTCTGATTAGCAGTCAAGTGCCTTAGGCACCATGCTACCAGAGCTCCTTTCTAACCATTACAACCAAGAAAACCCTACGGGACACCTATACTATTAACACATGGTGTCGCTATGAGTCGGAATAGACTGGAGGTCATCCGACAACAGAGAAGTTAAAGCGTCTCCGGTGCCAAACAGCATTAGGACGCCAGGAACGATGCTAGCAACACTGCTGGGAGACGCAGTTTAGTACCCTGAAAATACCCGGGGGCGTTGGAAAGACGCTAAGGAATTCTGAGGAATACAAGGCCAATGCCGGGAAACGACCGGTCGGGCGTGTCCCCGGGGTCGCTGGCGTGTGATTACGGGTCTGGGGATAGGGCCGGGACTCCCTGGAGGAGACGGAGGGATGTTGGAGTATTAGGGGAACTTCTTCGGGAGGTGAGGATGTTTCTGGCGTCACTAGAGTATTAATAGAAATTTGAAGGAGCTACTGGGCCACGAGACATTACCTGGAAAATGCCGGAGGACTAGGTCCCTTTCCGCCCCAGGGCACACCTGGCTATCGGTGCAGAAACACTTGCGGGGAATTGAGGGGATGGGAGCATCAGGATATCGAGGCCATCGGGGTTGGGGAGGACATAACGTGCCAAAGCCGAGGGTTCACTAAGGACACTGGAAAGGACACCCCTGCAGGGCCGATGCAAGCCCGGACTCACCCAGGAGCCGCAGCCAGGGTCCACTCTACGCCAACACCGCCAGACTTCCGCCGGCGTCGCAGGCACGGTCCCTTTAAATTATTCACCACTGGGTGTGCCGCAGCCCGGCTGCCCGCCCGCCCGCCATGCTGGGAAGGTCGCGTGAACAGCCATGCTGGGCGTGGCGACGCCTTAAAGGGGCTGGAGCCCAGCTGGCGAAAGGAATGCCCCTCCCACTAGAAACGAGACCACCACACTTATTTACCCGTTTATTTAACATCCCCACCCTGGTCCCACCCCAGTGTCCGACCCGCCTGGCCCTGCCCAGGCACAACATGGAGCCTGTCCTTAAAAGTAAATCCTAAAAATAAATAAGCGTGGGTCCCCACAGTCCGGGGCTAAGGTCCAGTGGCGTCTAACTCAATTTACCAACAGCGAATGGTCCTCTGAGGCGTCCCTGTATGAGGGGAGAAGAGAGGTAGGGTCAGCAGCGGCCGCAGAGGGGGTCAGCTCCCTCAGGCACCCTGCCCTTCTCCCGAGCCCACAATCGGACACCAACTGCACCTGCCACAACAACAGAGGAGGCTGCAGGCTGAGCCGCTCCCACGGCGGAACTTGCCGGATGTGGGGCTGTCCTGGCACTGTGCGATGTAGGCCTGGAGCTCACTCACCTCCCCGCCAGCGCCTGGGTGCTGAAGAGGCATAGAGGGCAGCCATCATGAATGTGGACTCTGCCCTCAAAGGCCCTCAAGGACTGTCCTTCTGTCTACCTCCCCTGCAGCTATCTGGGCCCTGGCAATGGCTGTCACTCTGCCTGCTGTTACTGCAGATTCTCCATGGCTTGCTTCTGCAAGGAGCCTGTCCTGGCCCCTATGCTCGTGCATACCCAGCATCTTTGTCAGTCTGGGCCTCTGCTGTGGTGTCAGGCCCTGGATGGCACAAAGAGTTAAGCACTCCACTAACAGCTGAAAGGTTGGAGATGTAAACCCACCCAGAGGCACTTCAGGACACAGGCCTGGTGATCTGCTTCAGAAAGGTCCCAGCCTTGAAAACCCCATGGAACAGTTCTTCTCTGCACACAGGCGGTTGCCAGGAGTCAGAATCGACTTGGCAGCAAGGAACAGCAACAAGCTTTGGCCCCCAGCCGCTAGAGCTGGCCTGACACACTCTGGGCATTCCACAAACACCTCTTGAGTGAACCACAGTGGGGCCTGGGCTTGTACATTCACAGCACATATATGCATGGGACATCCAAGTGCTAAAGCCATGACCCACGGAGCTCCACGGATCAGGGCAATAGAAGGGGTGGCTAGAGGACAGCTGTATCCACGCATGGGGCTTACACATCTGCCTATGACATGCAAAGTAGCAGGGCCCCAGCAGAACTTAAATGTTCCAACTGTCACTGGTGCCTGTACCCCTCCCAGCCTTGTGGCACCACCACTGCCTGTCTGAGACCTTTTCAAATTCCAGGCCATTAGCTTTCCTTTTCCTTCCCCATGGCACTCTCCCTTTGGCTCCCATCTCTCTGATCTAGAACAGCACCATCCAACAGAATTTTCCGAGATGGAAAATGCTCAGTGTCTATGCTGTCCAATATGGTAGCCACTGGCCATGTTGGAATGTCCCTAGGTGGCGCAAATGGGTAAGCACTCAACTACTAGCCAAAAGGTTGATGGTTCAAATCCACCAAGAGGAGGCCTCGAAAGCCAGGCCTGGAGATCTGCTTATAAAACATCACACCCTTGAAAACGCTATAGAGCATTTCTCCTCTGAACACGGGAAGTGACCATGAGTTGAAACTGACCTGATGGCAACTAACAGTAACAGTAACTGCCCCACTTGAAGTGCACACACACTGGAGTCCCTGGGTGGGGCAAATGTGAAGCGCTTGGCTACTGACCAAAAGGTTGGCAGTTCAAACCCACCCAGAGGCACCTCTGAAGACAAACCTAGTGGTCTGCTTCTGAAAGGCCACAGCTCCCAAAACCCTGTGGAGCAGTTTTGCTCTGCACACGTGGGGTCACCAGGAGTCAGAGGGACTTGGCAACAGTGGGTTAGTTTTTATCCACTTTTGTCTTTTGCAAGTTCTGGTGGTGTAGTGCCTAAGGCATTTTACTGCTAACCAGAAAGTTGGTGGTTCAAAGCCACCAGCCACTCTGTGGAAGGAAGGGTGGGCAATCTACTTCTATAAAAATTTACTGCCTTGGAAACCCAAAGGAGGTTGTTATGAGTTGGAATCGATGATGGCAGTGAGTTTGGTTTTTATGGTTTTTGTCTTTTGAGTACTTGATATGTGGATGGGGTAAGCAAGGAACTGATTTTTGATCGCTATTCTATTTTAACTACAATTAAAATTTAAATAGGCATGTAAGGCTAGAGACAAGTATTGGACAGGATATTCCAGACGCCTTCCTGGCTTCCCCAATGCCATGTTAAACCTTTGTAACCTTCCACCCTTTCTTCACCTTCTGACCCCTGCAGCACATGGGACAAGTATCTTTCCCCAGACTAAACTCCCCTCTCCCTCCTCCCAGAAGCACACAGCAGACGGGTTTAAGAGTGTGGCTTCTGGACTCAGTCCTGGGGTGGACCCAGCTGTACCACTTCCTGCATGGCTGACTTCAGGCAAGTTACTTAAACTGTAGGATTCGGTTTCCCTGTCAGAAAAAAAAAAAAACGGTTGCAGGATCACCCGTGAGAACAGTGCTTGACTAAAAAATCATGTATGAGACCAAAAGGTCCACACTTACTCTAAAGCAAAGGTGGAAAGATAAGGGTGCAGGACAACTGGAACACTGGAAACAGAACCACCAGAAGGCAGTTCAAGAGAATGTCGACACACTGGGAAAAACGTAACTAATGTCACTGAACCATTTGCCTGCCCACACAGCCGCTGCCCCACTGCCATCCAGTTGATTTCAACTCCTGGTGACCCTATAGGACAGATCAGAACTGCCCTGTTTCCAAGGCTACATAAAGCCTTGGCTATAAAGCTGGGAACCTAATTTACTGTGTAAACTTTCACCAAAAGCACAATAAAGTATTACAAAAAAAAAAAAAAGAACATGATGCAGGAACCCCAGCTGGCCTAAGCTCTGCCCTATCCATGCGTAGAACCATTGCGGTTGGCCCTCACGCTGGCTCCCCAAGTCCTAGGAAGAGGCCCCCATGTTCTGTCCCTGGGTCTTCTCGCTTCCCCCACCAGGTCCCCAAGGGTCAGGGGTCCACCTCGCGGCCAATTACCAGGCCCCGGAGCCCTTGTTCAGGCTGTGTGTGCACATGGCAGGCCGGGAGTGGGCGTGTGGGGCTGCAGGCTGACCTTGATGGTGTCATAGGCGCCAGTGATGAGCGCAATGAAGAGGCTGAGCACCATGTAGATGAAGAGGCTGATGAACGAGTAGAGGTAGAGCTGGGAGAAGAGCCAGACCAGGCTGCTGCGGCCTTGCTGGGCCTGCATGGCGGCGAACGTCACAAACATGTCGTCACCGTTGATGAGCGAGAAGAGGCACTCGGACACCATGGACAGCGAGCGGAACTGGGGGCAGAAGGGTCACGGGGTCAGAGGCACACGTGTGGGCCAGGGACAGTCAATGGAGTACCATCTGTCGTCTGGGGTCATCTGGGGTCACTGTGTCAATGGTAAGGTCATGGGGTCAATGATACTGTCACCCGGGGTCAGAAAGAACTGCAGATAGAGGATCAGCAGTCAAGATGAGGTCACTGCGTCAGTTATGTCTTGGGGTCAATGACAGGGTCACAAGGGGTCAGAGGGGACTGGCCTGCGCTATCTGTAAATGAGTCAAAGTCAGGTAATCAGTCATGACAAAGGCAAGGTTACTGGGTCAATGGAAGATTCGTCAAAGGTCACAGGGGACAGTAAGCATAACCCCTGGCTAGGTCAGGGGTCCGGATGAGGGTCAATGACAGGGTCACCAGGGGTCAGAGAGCACCGTGGGTGGGCGTGGGTGTGGGAGGGAGTGTGTCCGGTACCTTCTGGGGAGCAGAGGTCACAGGACTCCTGGATCCTCAGACTGTGGGTCGTGCCCCGGCCCCACCTACCTTCACGTGGTAGGGCCCCAGTACGATCCAGCCACAGAAGCAGTAACCCAGGTAGATGACAGCCACACAGCAGCAGAAGCGTATGACACTGGGCAGGGCTACCCGCAGAGTGGCAATCAGGATCTGTGTCCAGACGGGGGGAGGCCACAGTAAGGACCTGGCCACAACCCATTAGCCACAGAAGCCGCTGGGAACGCAGAAAGGGCAGGGCTGTGCTGAGGGGCCCGAGGGGACCCTGTGGCTGGACTCAAGTGGGTGAGGATCTGTTATGGATTGAAGGCTGTCCCCCCAATACGCACTAGCATCCTCACCCCCGTGCCTGTGGATGGGATGCCACCTGGAAACAGGGTGTCTTTGTTATGTTCCTGAGACCCTATCAGTGCACGGTGTGTCCTAAAGCAATCATTTCTGAGACAAAGCAATAGGGTGACAAACAAGCACAAATCAGAGGAGACATATGCCACCAGGTAGAGACCGCCCAGGAGCTGAGCAGCGCCAGGGTTACAGGAGCTGAAACAAGGACGTCCCCCAGAGCCAACAGAGAGAGCCTTCCCCTAGAGCCGGCACCCCAAATTCAGACTTCCAGCCTCCTCAACTGTGAGAAAACACCTTTCTGTTCTTTAAAACCACCCACCTGTAACCAGAAAGGTTAGCTGCGAAGCACGGGGTGGCAGTGAGTTTACGTTCGCGGGAGAGGAACAATTGGGAGAAGGAGAATGAGGGTGGCTGCACAATTCAAAGAATGTCATCAGCGTCACTGAATTGTACATGGAGAAACTGTTGAACTAGTATATGTTTTGCTTGTGTCAACAGCAAAATAAAGTATCTTAAAAAAAAAAAAACTCACTGTGGCATTTCTGTTAAAGCAGCACTAAGAGACCTCTCAGAGTGGCTCCCGTCGGCTCTGCCCGGGTGTGGTGACAGGTGTGTCTGGGAGTGACAGGTGCGGGGAAGAGGCTTGCGAGCAGCCACGTGCAGGGGGCTGGTGAGGGCCGGAGGCGTGTGTACTTATTCTGGGGAGGGGCTGGGGAACACAAGCGGCCGGGTGTGATGCTCACGTTGTACTTGTGGAAGAAGGTCAGGTAGCGGATGACGCCGACCCAGACGAGCAGCGTCGAGGTGCCCAGGAGGATGCTGCAGACGTCGTAGCTGGCCAGGTTCTGTGGGCCGAGGCGAGTCAGCTCCATCTGCCCCGGGGGCAGGGAGGGGCAGGACGTGGGGGCTGTGGTCTGAACGTACCCACCTTGGCTTCAATGCCAATCTTCATGATGGTGCCTGAGATGGTGAGCACGTCACTGGTGACCAGCAGGATGTACCAGCCGTTGACAAACTCCAGCCGTTCCCACAGGCCGATGACCCGTCCCCGCTGCCGCCACATGAACCTGACAAATTCCTGTGAAGGCGGGTGGGGTGAGGGCTTGTCAGCGGGGCCCCAGGCCCTGCCCCCAGGCACCCAGCCTCACATCCTGCAGCAGGAAGCCTCGGAGCAGTGAGCGGGCGCACAGCAGGAAGGACAGGGAGCAGGTGAGCAGGACCACCACGTCAAACAGGAGCCGGAAGATGTTGTCTCCTGCAGGGAGGGGCCGAAGGTAGGGCCGGGGGTCTTGGCCAGGCCGGGGGGACGGTCTTGGCCAAGCCGGGGACCTAGGAGGGTAGCAGAGCTAGTTTGGGCTGGCCAGCGGCCTGGGGGCTCCTTGAGCAGGTCAGAGCCCCTGGTCGGTGTGGGTGTTGGGTTCATGGGCTTCCCTAGCAGGTGAAAGCCCCTGCTCGGTGCTGGTCTGAGGCTCTAAGGCTCAGGGGGCACTGCGGGCAAGTCAGGACCCCATCAGCACTGGTCTGAGGCTTGGGGCACTTCAGGGAAGGTCAGGACCCCGTCAGTGCTAGTCTGAGATGCTAAGGCTGAGGGGACACTTGGGGGTCAGCACTGGGCTGGGGGCTCACCGTGCCCGAAGACGCTGGGGTGCTTACACTCCTGGATGTGGGCCCGGGTCTCCAGGCTGATGGGGATCCGTCCACTGTGTGCCTTATTGTCAAAGGTGATCTGCAGGTAGGTGGTGCACAGTGAACCCCGGCAGCCCTGGCTCCACGCCCAACATAGTGGGCAGTCTGCTGAGGCCTTGCCCCTTACCCCCACAATGCCCTGCAAATGGCCCCTAGATGCCCTCCAACAAGGGTCCAGCCCTGGAGGGTCCTGGCCCCTCACCCCAGGACCATGGGCCCCCTAGGCCCCTACCCCTTCACTCTTGCCCCTCAGGCTCACCAGGCCCCTAGAGGATCCTCCCCTCTAACAGGTCCCCGGAGAGCCCACGGGCCCCACCCCTTCACCCCCCTCAGCTCACCAGGCCCACGGCCCCCGGCTTGGCTCACCAGGACGCTGAAGGTGTAGCAGTCAGGGATCTCGTTGTTGATGAGGCTCTGCAGGTTGATGGTCTTCAGCTGGAAGTGGACGGTGACGTTGATCAGCCTGGGGGGGGAGGCTCGGGTGAAGGGGGATAGTCCCCCACCGGTCCCCTCCCAGCCCCAGCATGCCAGCGCCCCCAACCCATGCTGACTCTGCAGCGGGCAGAGGAAGTGGGCAAAGGCAGGCGTCAGCAAGGCGCCTGGCCCCCACCCCGCAGGGGGAAGTGGCCGCAGGAACCAGGCCTCCCCAGGCATCCTGCCCGTGTCCCCAGCCGCCTGGAGCAGCCCCCAGCAGGCAGTACTTGTGGAACTTGAGCGTGATGTTCCTGTAACTGGAGCTGCTGTCCGAGAGGGCGAGATCCTCAGTGGGGGACAGAGGGGGTTGCTCAGGGGGGTCCACTCGGATGCAGTCTGAGGACAGGGAGATGGGGAGGGGGTCTCCTCAGGGGGCAAGGGGGGCAAGCTGTGCTCCCCGGAGTCCCCAGCAGCCCCCTTCTCTGCTTCACTTCCCAAACTTAAATCCTTGGTGGTTCTCTTTTGTCTTCCCAGTGACCAGTGACAAGTCTGTCCTACTCCCTATCAAGATCCTGGCCTGGCACTTAGTGGGGTCTCAAACATTTAGTGAGTTCATAATATTAAAAAACAACACCTAGTAGAAGAATAGAAGCAAGAGAAGGAATAGGAGAATATGGAATGTGTGGCTGCCTCGATGCACAATTGCCTCCTTTGCTGAGACCAGAACTGCATAGTGTCTGCTACCATTACTCAATGCGCTGATCAAGGAGTCTGTAGAAGAATCCTGATCAAAAGGGGGGAAATGCAGAACAGAATTTCAAATCTTCACAGAATCCAGATTTTTTGGAGCCATGGAGGCTGAATGAACCTCTGACATGACTGCCCTGAGATAATCTTCAAAATGTAAACCTTAAACCAAAAATATCCCCTTTAAACCAAACAATGTTGTTGTTGTTATTTGCCATCAAGTCAGACTCGACTCATAGCGATCCCTCCTTGGATTTCTAAGGCAGTATCACTATGGAAGCAAAGTGCCCAACCTTCCTTCTGAGGAGTGGGAGTGGCTTGTGGGTTTGAACTGCCAGCCTTCTGGTTAGCAGTCAAGTGCCTTAGGCACTAGGACACCAGAGCTCTTAAACCAAACAATAGTTCTGCTTAATTAGGAAAGATTGTCTGCTTTGAACATTATGCTCTTTTAACTTTTAAGAACTATCTACGTGGTATCCAATGGACAACAGCAACTCAACAGATTAATAGGAAGCTTAAGGGGCAGTGAGCTTATGTTCATGGGGGAGGAACAACTCAGAAAAAGGGGGTGAGAATGGCTGTACAAGTTGAAGGATGCCATCAACGTCACTGAATTGTATGCACAAAAATCAAATCTATTACATTTTGTTGTGTTTTCTCAATGACAATAAAAATGAAAATAGCATTGAGTCATCTCTATGCGTTGGGCATACTGAGCATGCTGTGTATGTGTAATTATCAGTCACTATAATCAGCCAATCAGCATGAGGCAGAACTAAGTTTTCGATCCTGGCTGCCTGGGCTCTCCAGAGATAAGCCCTGCCCAGCCCACTCACCAGTGATGACCAGTGGGTCAATGTCGAAGGTGTCATTGGCCGGGTCGACATGGCCACGGTTGTAGTAGCGTTGGCAGAGGGCCAGCCCCGAGCCATTGGCTCCAAGGCTACCCCCGCCCCGCACATATGCATACTGGCCCAGCGACACGTTGGGGAGCATCAGGTACTATGGGTAGAGAAGGGAAGCTCTGTTAACTACGTCCCCTCATCTGGCTTGAGCCCACCTATCCGCCCACCTCTGCTCATCTCTACCTGGTCCACAGCATGGAAGATGGCCTGGTAGAGTTGCTCCCGTGTATAGGCTGCAAAGGTGTCGTCCGCCCCATCTGAGTAGCCAAGTAGGAAGAGGTGCCGGAAGGCGATGGTGTTCTCCTCCCGGAAGGTCACCGCCAACTGGTTGCTGAGGCCGAACAGGATGAGCTGGTGGGAGGGGCAGGAGAGGTCACTGACAGGAGTTCAGGACTCCCAGGTGGGACCAGCTTCCCTTGGGGCAGGAGCAGAGAATGAGGAAAGAGAGGGCCTTGGGGATATTCACTGGGGCAAGGCAGAGCTCTCTGAACACAGGGAGCCCCGTGCAATTCTTTGCATGGTTACTGGGTTACTACCTACCTTTCCCTTGTCTCCCCAGCCCTAAACTCCATGAGGGCACAGACCATGTCTGTCACTCCCATCCTATTATCTGCCCTACGTGCAGCACCCAAGGGGCACTGAAGCATCTGACAACAGCCACTGTTGTCGGTGTCGGGTACCATTGATTCTGACTCACAGCGACCCCCTGTGGCAGAGTGGCATTTTCTTGGCTATAATCTTTATAGAAACAGGTCTTTCACCCGCGAAGGCATTAAACCCCAAAAAACACACTCACTGTCATCGACTCGGATCCAACTCACAGCAACCCCTCCTTGGGTTTCCAAGGCAGTATCAGTACGGAAGTAGATTGCCCAGTCTTCCTTCCAAGGAGTGGCTGGTGGGTTTGAACCATCGGCCTTCTGGTTAGCAGTCAAATGCTTTAGGCACTTGGCTACCCACTAGGTGGGTTCAAATCACCAACCTTTCTAGCTGAGCACTTAATCATTGTACCATCATGGCTCCTTAGAGTACAGCAGCTAATGCTTATTAAATGCTTTTCAGAACATTTAATAACTGTGCTAACCCCAAGATGGTAGAGTAACTACCACTACTGAGCCCCTTTGCTGGGTGTGTGTGCATGCCGGGGGTGGGGGTGGACAGAGGCCCAGTAACATGCCCAGGGAGTCCCTGGATGGTGCAAACACTTAACACACTGGGCTGCTAACTGAAAAGCTGCCAGTTTGAGACCACCCACACGTGCCTCAGAAGAAAAGCCTGGCAACTTACTTCTAAAACATCAGCCACTGAAAACTGTATGGAGCTCAGTTCTATTCTGATACACGCAGGCTTGCCATGAGTCAGAATCAACAGATGATACCTTTTTTTTCACCCCCAACATGCCCAGAGTCACAGCACTAGATGGGAAGCCCTTCATGACAAGGGCTAGGTCTGACTTATCTTAGGGTCCACAGGATCTGGCACAAGGGAGCACTCACGATCTGTTCAGCCACTGGCTCGGATTTCTTAGACTATCAACAAGGCATCAGACGGCCTGGGTTTAATCCCAGCTTCCCATGCTCTATCACTCTATGACTTAAGACAAGTCCCTAAACCTCTCTGGGCCTCAGTTGTCTCTCACACAAAATGGAGGTGAGTGCAGCTGTCAGGCCCTCGAGATACTGCACAAACAGATGTAAGCGCAGACTCATACTTCATGATCAGCACTGCTGCTATCACTGCAATCACACTCTGTGGGGTCGGGAGCAGGCCCCCACACCAACAGTCTCCCGTGAGGAGAGCGGCGACCACAGCTGGTGCTCCCCCCGGCCAGGCCTCACCTGCACAGTGACCACCAGGATCTTCACCACCTGCAGCATCAGCTTGAAGGGCTTGCGGCCCTTGGCCCGAAATTTGTCACAGGGACTCATGAAGAAGTACTTAAGACGACGGCGAAGATCTTCTTCCTCCAGGGGCGTCGAGGGGGCTGGTGAGGCCCCTGCCTGGGTCCCATAGCTAGGGCTGGGGGCCAGGAGCCGCTCAGTCTCTATAAAGAATGGGAGAGAGCAGTGGAGACCAAAGCCTGGCAGCCCCACCTGCCACGGGCTCAGCCTTCTCCTTGTGGCTCCCCACCCTGGCCACAGAAGAACTTTGAAAGGTCCAAGGAAAACCACAAAACCAAGAAAAACATCCGCAGCATTTCCAGGGTTTACGCAGCAGTACTGGAGTCCTTGGGTGGTGCAAACAGTTAAGGAGCTTGGCTGCTAACTGAAAGGTTGGGGGTTCATGTCCACTGAAAGGCACCTTGGAAGAAAGGCCTGGCAATTCACTTCTGAAAAATCAGCCAGTGAAAAACTCTGTGAAGCACAGTTCTACTCTGATGCGCACAAGATCCTGAGTTGGAGTTGACTTGACAGCAAAGTAGTGATGGCGGCAGCAGCAGTACTGCCGCTCAGAGGTTAAGAGTTGGGGTTTGGAACTCGAAAGGGTCGGAGCTGATTCCTGACCTTGCTGCTCACCAGCTCGGACAGGGCACCTGAGTGTCAGCTTCCTCATCTGTAAAATGGGGCAATAATCCTCTGGGGGGGGGGAAGCTTTGATGTCTACGGAGTACTTATTACACAGCAGGAACTGGGGAGGAATGTGAAAACATTCCATCAATGATGTTGACTTCTCCCAGGGCACTCAAGGCTCCAGGCTTAGCCTGATTCCAGCCTCCAGGCTTGAGCAGAGCTCAGTCCACATTCCAGATCTTTTCTGGGCCAACACCCAAAGGTTCACCTTACCACTCATCCCACTTGCTCAGGTATAGCAAGGATCGTGGGGCTGACACAGGACCGGCAACATTTTGTTTTGCTGTACATAGGGTCGCCATGAGTCGGAGACGACCCGATGGCACCTAACAAAAGCAACTCATCACAACCCAGCCTGTGTGGTTGACCTTCTCACAAGCCCCAGGCCTGGAGATGGGGTTATTAAATGTCAGAAAAAAGGAATGCATGTGTGGATGCCACTCTAGCACTGCCTGTCTGCTCCTTGATAAGCTAATGTGCCACCACCATGACGAACACAGGCTTCTGGAAATCACACAGCCCTGCGACCACATCCCAGCTCTGCCACTTCCCGGCTTGATAACCCAGAAGAACCTCCTGAAACCTCAGCCTCTCCACTGAAAAACGGAAATAAAAAAGTCTACTCCTTACGCCAACGCTCGGAAGCTGTTTTGAGAACTCAGTGAGACCAAGCAGGTAAAGACTGCTTTGCAAACAAGTGCTCAAGTTTGTCTCCATAGCTTGTTGCCTTTGATCCTGACAAAGCCAAGAGGGTGGCCTGAGGTGTCACCAAGTGCTGGGATAACAGCCAGTGGAGCAACCCACAAATGTCCCAGACACACCATCACCCTACTTCTTTCCAGGGCCTGGCACAGCTGCCAGGATGAATGTAGGCACCATCACAACCTGTCCTGCAGGGCTACTGCCTGGCTGGCTGGTGTGGTGGTTGTTTACCAGAGGGTCTGAGAGGAAGCCAGCAGAGGGCAGACCCTGCCTCCTTAGCTGGGATCACAGTTAACCCACCCCTGACCCTGCCAGCTTGGACACCTTTCAGGCGTCTCCACCAACTCAAGGAGGGGAGGCTAACCCCCAAGAGAGCTGCAGTCTGAGGATTGGAGGCTGGGTTCTGGATGGCTGCGATTCCAAGGATTTGAAGCACTAAAACTGCAGTTAGTCGCCTGGGTTCAAAGAGGCAATCCCCCTAGCCGTCCTGGAGTTTAGGGAAACTTAACATTCGTCTCCTGGCTTCAGGCTCGGAGTTGGCGAAGCTGGCGCCCGTCGCCTGAGTTCAGGGAAAGCTGAGGTTACAACCTAGGTTCAGAACAGAAATCCTGGGAAGCCGGCCGCCCTCATTCGAAGAAGCTAGCACCCCGCCCGCTGTCTGAGTTTAGGAACTCTGAGCAGAGCCTGGGCTCAGCAAGGGGGTCGGGAGTCCCGCGATCCCGAGCTCTGAGAAACTGGCCGGCCGCCCGCCCGCCGCCCGCGTCCGGGACCCGCGATGCTGCCTGTGCCCTCACCTGAGCCGCGCTGGCCCACGGGGGCTGCCATGCTGGCCCCGGGAGCGCGGGACGCCAGCGGGCGCGGCTGGACAGCCCGGGTTCTGGAGCCCCGCTCCGTCACTGCGGCCTCTCTCTGTCCCGGCGCTGCTTCAAACCCTCCCAAGTCAGCTGACCCGCGCCGCGGTCACGTGACCAAGGCGACCGACGAGGCACGTGACCAGATCTGGTCCCGCTCCCGGCGCGACAACAAACCCGCCCCCTACCGGAGCTTCACGCACGCGCGGCTCACAGTGTGTCTTGAGGGCGGGAGGCGGCCGAAGGGTCCCAGCGCCGACGCGCGGCCCATGGCCTGGGGGATGGGCTGGTTCTGAGCGTGACCCTGTTCAGCAGCCACTGAGGCTGCCCTGGCTTCCTGTAGTGTTCCGCGAGCAGTGCCAGCCTCGTGACTTCTATGTCCAGTGCTTGACTCTTTACCCTCTGCGGTGTCAGGTGATGACCTTGTATTCCAGTCTCAGGGCTGGCCCCTGCTTCCTTCCAGAAAGCAGGGCGGGGGGGCTGCATCTCAACACCTCCTTCCCCTTTGCCCCAAACATCAGCAAATCCTATTTCATCCCCTAATTACATCTCTAATAGGGCTGCTAATCCCCACCCTTCTGTCCACCAGCCCAGAGCCCCCTGATATTTTTCGCTGGACTTCTGCAGAGACCTTCTCTCTGGTCTCCCTCGGCTTCCACTCCTGTCCTTCCTCCCACTCCACTCGCCACCCAGCAACCAGAAGCGACTTCAAAGAATGATTCAGGCGAGCCTTCTGCCAGAAACCACTAACGGTTTCCAATTGCCATGAGATGACAACCAAACTGCCCACCTCAGCCTGCTAAGGCCCTTGTGATCTGACCCTCACCACCTCCCTTAGCTCATCTCCCAGTGGCCCCAGGGCCTTTGCACACTCTTGCCCTGGAATGAAATGGTGAAGAATACAGGCTCTAGGGGGCACACAATTCAAATTTTAATCTGGGAATCTCCAGCCACCACCTTGTCTTTCAACAACTTCCTTAAACTCTAGGTGCCTGTTTCCTCATTTGCAGGTGGGGATATGCAGTCATAGTAATTACCTTATGGGGCTGTTGAGTTAAATGAGAAAATGTGAGAAGCGCATAGACTGAGCAAATAGCACTGGCTGTGAAGTCAGTGATTAGGTGAGTATAAAAACCTTCTTTGGGAAAGCCTGTCCCCACATTTAATGAGAAGCCTGTTATGCTTCTGGAATGTACCATACCCTGTAATGATTCTTACATATTGGTATCTATCTCGCCGTGCCATTTATCTTGTTTACTGCTGAGACCCCAGGACTTAATGGATGTTTCTTGAATGTGTAAACGAGCAGCCTACGTCCAGTAGAGTACCAATAACATGGCCTTTGAAGGGCAAGGGACTTCTGGTGGCATAGTGCCCAAGGCATTTGACTGCTAACCAGAAGGCTGGCAGTTCAAACCCACCAGCCACTCCTCGGAAGGAAGGTTGGGCAATCTGCTTCCATAGTGATACCACCTCGGAAACCCAAGGAGGGATCACTAAGAGTTGGATCCGACTTGACGGCAGTGTGTTTGAATGGCAAGGGGTAGGTTAAGAGAGCAGACTGGGCAGGGCTAGCCACATAGCCTTCTGTCAGCCCACCAGGCTGAGAACAGGCCAGAAATCCCACCATTAATGTCATTCCAGTGCTGGTGGCTGTCACGGTGCCTGTGGCTGTATAGAAAGGCTAGAGGAAGGGGTGATCTGCAGGGTGGTCTCCTGTTGAGCAGATGGCCCTGCCTGAGGGAGCAGAGTGGTGACTGTGGGATGGACCAGCTGGACAGACGTGCCTCCAGGGCCTGGAGAGGAAGCCAAGCCATTAGGATCCCCGAAGTATGGCTGGCCACACCCTCACATTTCCTAAGGAAGAGACTTGACATTACAGGAGAGCAACAGGTGAACCACAACAGAGCCAGTAGGCAGTGGGAGGATTTTACTAACTGCATAACACACAACTTCCCCAGGCCTCTGGATGCCCTTCAGCCATCCGGCCCCAGCAGTGCCCCCTGCTCCCGTGCCCACCTGGGACTCTCCCCGGCAGGACGGGCTGGGCTGACAGTATCATGGATGGGAGAGTTAGGGTCAGGGTGGGACTCGGGGTTGGGCTCAAGGTCAGTATTGGCTTTGTGGCCAGGCTTAGGGTCAGAAGATTGGACAGGCTCCGGGCCGGGGCTGGATCGGGAGCCAGGGATGGTTTTGTGGCTGGGATCGGAGAGGGAGCCCAGTGTAGAGCCAGGGTCAGGGGCAAGGCCAGAGCTGGGACCAGCGCTGAGGCCCAGGCCAGAGGCGAGCACGGAGGCAGCATCGGGACCCAGAAGGGAGACCTGACCGGGTCTCAACATAGGCATAGGGCTCAGGCCCAAGCCAGCGGCAGCGGCAGCCGCCGCCGCCGCCGCTGCTGCCGCTGCCGCCGCCGCGCCCTCATGCACGCGTTTGTGCTTCGTGAGGCTGGAGGCCTGGCCAAAGGCCTTGCCGCAGAGCTGGCAGCGGTAAGGGCGCTCGCCGGAGTGCACGTGTAGGTGCTGCAGCAGCGCCGAGCTCTGCCCAAAGGCCTTGGAGCAGTGCGGGCAGGCGTAGGGCCGCTCGCCCGTGTGGATACGCAGGTGATGTTGCAGGTTGGAGCTCTGGCCGAAGGCCTTGCCGCAGTGCGGGCAGCGGTAGGGGCGCTCGGCCGTGTGCGTGCGCTGGTGCTGCAGCAGCGCCGAGCTCTGCCCGAAGGCCTTGCCGCACTGCGGGCACGGGTAGGGCCGCTCGCCGGTGTGCGTGCGCAGGTGCTTGAGCAGCGCCGAGCCCTGCCCGAAGCCCTTGGCGCACACGGGGCACTTGTGGGGCCGCGGGCCGCCGTGCGTGCGCAGGTGCTGCGCTAGCAGCGAGCCGTGGCCAAAGGCCTTGCCGCACACCGGGCAGTGGTGCGGCTTCTCGCCGCTGTGGCTGCTGCGGTGCTTGAGCAGCGTGGAGCGCCAGCCGAAGGCCTTGCCGCAGGCCGCGCACTGGTAGGGCCGAGCGCCTGTGTGAATGCCGCGGTGCTGGGCCAGCGTGGCGCCGTGGCTGAAGGATTTGCCACAGTCGGGGCAGCGGTAGGGCTTCTCGCCGCTGTGGGTACGGCGGTGCTGGCTTAGCCCCGAGCTGCGTCTGAAGGCTCGCCCACAATCGGGGCAGGAGAAGGGCCGGGGCGGGCTAGCGGGGGCCGGGAGCTCTGCAGGGCTGGTGGGCAGGACCTCGGGGGTGGCAGTGAGGCTGGAAGAGAGGGGGTCCAGGTCAGGGGTGTCGCTGTTTGGATCGAGAACCAGGGGGACGGGACCAATGACGTCAGGATCAAGGTCCAAACTCGAAGACATGGGGTCGATATCTTGGGGCTCTGAGTCACGGTTCCCCAAGATGGAGCCCGGAGCTTCCGCATCGGGGTCCAGCTCCTCCGAGACGGGCTCAAGATCCTCATAGCTGCGGTCCATGTCTTTAGAGACAGTGTTGAGGTCTTCCGGGTCAGGCTCTGCGTCTTCAGAAACTGGGTCCAGGTCTTCCAGGTTGGGGTCCAGGTCCTCCGTGTCGCAGTCGAGCTCCTCATAATTGGGCCTTGGGCCTTTGTGACCTGGGTTCCGGACGAGGACAGAGCGCCGTCGCATTCCCAGCTTCGAGGTGCCGGCCACTTCCGTTGCCGGATCTACAGGGGCAACACAGGGGGGATGGAGCTAGTGCTGGAGAACCAGACCTAAACCAAACCAGGTGCGGTGGCTGGCAACCCCATGTGTGCAGAGTAGAACGGGGGACCATAGGGTTGGTTATCAAGGTTGTGACCTTGCAGAAGCAGATTGCCAGGCCTTTCTTCTGTGACACAACTGGGTAGGTTCAAAGTGCCAACCTTTCAGTTAGTAGTCAAGCTTAAAACCGTTTGCTCTATCCAGGGACACCTCTAGGAAAGAATGGGTCTCTTTTGAAATCTGGGTAGGGATGGAAGGAGGGGCCCAGGCCACACCCCAGTCCGTGCTCCTGAAAACCCATGGATCCTTCCTTCCCTTGTCTTCAACCTCAGGAAGCCTCCTGACCCACCCTAGCTGGGACAGAGAGAAGAGGGATCCTGGGGGAGCTCGCACCTTGATGGAAGTCACGGGACCTGGCTCTCGAGGGCTCCAGTGCCCAAGGCCAGGGCTCTGCCCCTCTCTCCATCCTGGGCTCCTCACGGGGGAAGCTTGGGTCCTGTGGAGGAGAGAGTCTTAGGTTCCTACCCCCTTTGACTAGAGGTGAGGAGACCCCAAGTACCCTCATGGGGAACAGGGTGGGACTGGGGCTCCCATACTTGCTTGTGAGGACTTGCCTGGACTCCTATCCCATAGCTGGAAGTCACATATCTGGGGGTTCCTGTGGGGAGGGGACATCCTGAGCTCTGAAGCCTATGGCTAGAGAATGAGAATGGGGACAGGCAAACACCTGGTACCCCTCCTGGGTCACTGGAGGAGGGAGTAAGTGTCAACACACCAGCCTTCTCTCATAGAAGATCTGGAATGCCAATTCCTAGAGGGTGAGATGGGCAACCAATATGTGGGACCCCTTCTCGGGGCAGGGAGACCCCTGGGCACTACTGCAAAATTCTGAATTCTACCCTTTAGCTGGGGGTTGTTGCTGCTGTTGGGCCCTCGAGTCAATCTGGATTCATAGTGACCTGATAGGATACAGTAGAGCTGCCCCATAGGGTTTTTTCGGCTGTCATCTTTACGGGAGCACATCGCCAGGTCGTTCTCCCGTGGAGCTGCTGGGTGGGTTCGAACTACCAACATTTCAGTTTGCAGCAGATGGCTTAACCATTGTGCCACCTGGGCACCTCTAGCTGATGGCGAGGTAGGCAAAAATAATACCTGAGTCTGCTCCTGGCTACTGGGGGAACCCCTGGACCGCCTCCTAGGAAGAGGAGATTGCTGAACAAGTAGCCCCATAGCTGGGATATGGAAGGGTGTCAGGACCCTTGCGTTCCCTTCTGGATAAGAAACACTGAATTCCAACCCCAAAGCTGGGGGTAGGGGGGAGAAAAAATAACTGGGACCCTTCTAGGGAGCAGGGGGATCCCAGGATTACCTGCTGGGAGGAGATGCCATGGCTGGGCATTAGGGGGTAGACAATAAACTGG